CAGATTCTTTCGAAGTAAAAAACTAATATTATCGATAGAAACAAGAATGTGTTGTTTATTCTCATAGATAGTGTGTGCTTTATCAGAAATATGCGTCTTGTGTCAATTCTCCATTGTCTACCAGCTATACCCCGCCCATGTTGAAAGACAAATTCAAATACACCAGACACATAAACCGCCGACCTCAACGTTCCGGCACCTATCGTTGTGCGGTTCGTGGATGTATGCATACGAGTCCCTCCCTGCTGTTCTTTGTTCTGTTTTATCGTGAAGAATTTTATTTACCATTCCCTTTCCAATGGAATCGACTGTGGTAAAATGTATATTCTTCACCTCCGTTTAATTATCTACAACCGTTTGAACTATTGTACATGACCAATCACATACCGTCGTGTCGTCACCTGATGTAGAGAGGGAGTAACGGCAATATGTACGGGAATGCAATTTTAGGTAAACTTACTTTATGTGAATATAATTCCTAGATTGAATGATATATGTTGTACGATTGTATGAGATAGGATATTCTAGCAATCTCAACAAATTCCTTGAGCTATTTTTAGCTGAAACATCTAAATTTGGTTTTAGTTTGGTTGTGGCAGCATCAGGCGGGCCAGATTGAATTACACAACGGGCCAGATTTGACCCGCGGGCCATCGTTTGCCCGTGTCAGGTCTAAAGCGTTAAATTCAACTATCATGGCATTACCGGTTGAACTTCCGGTTCCGCCCGCGCGCACAATCTCACCCGTATTGAGCTGTTATGTTTGCAGACTAGTGAACACGCCCCAAACCGATTAACTTTTTTCGATTATAGAGTAAATTTCCAGTTTCACTTCTTCGGTCGGGATCTTGTTTAAAAATTAAACTTTTATATGGCTCAAAATTCAACACAGACCTGTTACGATAATAGAAAATACCCCATTTTCCCGTTCAGCTGTATAACGGCCAAAGATCGAACAGACCGCCAAATACAAATAATTTGTAATTGGGATTATATTTGGCTCTTCGGGTAGGGTTTGTTGGTCGTCACGCTCAACTTGAAAGTCCTTGTTGAGTTTGAAGCGCTTCACCTATTTTCGAGCTATTTCAAGACCACTTGACTTCTATCAAAATCAACTCCAAATTGTTTCAAGTACTTTTATATGAACAAAACACAGATCTCGGAATCCTACTTATTGGGTTCACTGCCATTGTACTTAAAGAATTGTGTCTTGTAGAATAATATATCATCTTTTGGGTGGAAAATATTGAAACTGTTTTGTGTATCCAAAAGTCACTTGTTTTATAAGATGTTTACGCGTTACAGTTGCTGGAAACATAGATGTGAAATAGCAAGCCACTAAAATAAAGAATTTTTTGGTTAGTCGTTTTGCATCCCATGTGTTGCACCCCTCTACCGTGGTTTGCTGGAGATTGAATTCGAGATCGCCTGCCTGCGGTACCGAAGTTCTAATCATTTAATTTGCAATGCAAAAAACAATTATGTGTACGGTATTGGAGCAATATTCCATGTAAATTATTTTCAAGCCAACGAAAGATATTTTGTTTGAAGATGTCGTCAACGTAAAATTGAATGGGAAGATACCAGATTAAATCAACAATAGTTTCAAGACGCGTTATATTATATATAGTCTCTCTTTGTTTGCCTACATTACTGTGTTTGATCATAATATCTAGCGTATAAACTGATAGCGACAAACAGATCGTTGGAAATACTTGAATTATAGTAACAATTACTAGTAAAATAGCATGGCATTTTGTCTTACAATTTACTAGTTTAGGAGCATAAAATCCGATGGTGAATAATGAAACCATTGTGGCATCAAATATTAGATTGCCCCGAACAAGTTTAAATTTGTTTAAATCTTGTCATTTCTATTACCTTTGGAACTGTCCATTGAACTCTAGTATTGTTTTATGCCAACGTTTCCGCCTATTGACGTAGAAACATTTCAGTATAACAGCATTGCTGCTAAATTTCCAACGGAAGTCGCGCGTATTGTTTTATTTGAGCATATGACCATATTAGCAGTCTTTTTATCGGAAATATTTATACAACAATCAAGTGCTGCTGGTAGCCTATATGAATGCATTTAATACAGTCATACTATTCGACTTAAAGTTCAAACACAAAGCATGCTTTTATGTAGATATGCTGTTTTTTCTCCGGGGAAAACCATTTTTTACATATTCTTCTTTGGCAAAAATGATTTTTTAGTTGAGAAAATGATACAAATTGAACTGAAGAGATCTCTATCAAAAACCGACCATTACTAGGTTCTAGGTTGGGTTATCTCTTTCTATGGCCATTTAGGATTGATTATTTCTAAATTGTAGCATTCGTGGAAATGACAATATAGAAAACCGGAGATAAACGTTACGTATAAAGTTTGTAAATTCTGCCCTTACTCTTGTTATGAACTGACGACATAATTGTTATTAAACCAATAAATACATTCAACGGATGCTTTTACTTAAACAAGCATAAGCAATCCTATTGGTTGCGAACTAATTATTGTATCCTTTCATCCACTTGAAAACGTTGTTCAACAAATACAGCCGAGTAAATATTTTCTTAGCATATCACTATGTTAAATTTAGATGAAATTTACTTGAATTTCGATGCAGTTTTGAGAACAAAAGCATGATCGGATTGTGATGTAACAAACCCAGTTTAGTGCGAAGTAAACGACTTTTTTAATACGAGATATATCTTTGTCAAATGTTCGAGATTTAAATAATTTTAGTTGCTCGATGCATTTTCGGATTCTGGTTTACGTAAATATTACGAGGACGGTGTTACTACTCTTAACGACTACATGGCTTCATCATATAATATCATTGTTGACTTTAGACGCTCGATTAGACTCGCATAAACATAGTACCTGTAAAATGCGAAATGTCGTTTCGCTTTCTTGCACTCCAATGATGAAATTTACAATAATTTCATTTCGGGCGATTCTGTGTTTTCGGATACTGTTGATAATATTTTTACAACTTTTGATTTCCGAGTGTCTATCATGACAGTCTCACAGGATCTGAATTCAGTAAATTCAAATGAAAAAGGTTTTTGAATTCGTATATACTCTATTTTTCATAGATGTCAAATACAGAAAATTTTTAGATTACTGGTTCCCAACCAGTGGGCCATGCATGGCCAAGTTATTTACCAACTTATTTATAAACTGGTTAAACTTTGATTGTAGTAGCAATGAATGATGATACTGTTTTTGCTACTGAGTGGTAATTCTTCTTGTTTCAATAATTAAAGTGAAAGTGTCTTCATTGCGACAAAAGTTTTCCTGTTCTTCTTGTAGTTTTTCCCTTACATGAAATAATTGATGGGCCACAGATATTATTGTGCAACAAAAGTGATCCACGAAAGAAAAAAGGTTGAGAACCACAGTTTTAGACATATTGGATCATATGAAGATCCATCCCTCCAAACCCACTTGGGGAGGGGGGGGAGCAGACCCCCAAAATCTAGTTGAGAGGGAGGATTTGCATATGATTCAGCCTGAGATCGATCGATTGGGGGGGTTCTTCATATGATCCAATTGTCTTTTGATGAAGTTTTTTTAAACTGCCCGTGGCATTAAGTTAAATATATAAACCTTTAACATGAATTTAACAAAGTAAAATTTGAAATATTTATATATTTAACAACAGTCAAATGCACAATGAGTTCAGTAATTTCCGTTGCTCTCGTGTGGCAGGCAACGCTTTACTTAATTTGGATTGCGGTTTTCCCTCTTACATCACGGTCCATTCGATCTCTTTGGAGTGTACTTCACAATCAATGGTACTAAAGTGAAAGCACTTGTGACTTCAAGATCTAATTAGCTTCTCGGGTTCCACAGCATTCATATTTATTTATGTTCGAAAACGAGGTTCATATGTTCATCTGTACATATGGTTATGGTGATTTATTTTTCCTCGAATGGGCGTGGCGAAGGCCGTAATTCCTAGTCAATCGATTTTTTTCTTAAATTATCAGAAAATCATATTGGAAATATGGATACCACAGTCACTTACTAAAAGGCCAAAGCTCTTGATAATAGGGCTCCATACCCGCCCATATTTTTCCATGGATACCTTAAATATATTACTTAAATATAATCTGTCAGATGGGCTTATTACTTCTTACCAGTGCACTCACAAACTGGCATTCAATAAAACATAGACTAAAAATACAATAATTTTAAAAAGTAATTTAATGCAATCAATTGCATAAAACTATTTAAGAATATTTGAAGATTGTGTAGAAATTATTCGACTATAAAAATGTAAAAAATGAATTTAAATTATGGATATATCAGCAAAACGTACTGTGTGATTTAATTGTTTCATTCTAGGCAACTATTTTAACATGTGGTGACATTATTCGATAAATAGTCACTTGAGCCTCTTTTCAAGTAGGGTCTCCGTCCTTTTATTTCCTCAGAATATCCTATTGAGATTAAATAAATAAATTGGCCAAATTTTCCGCATGCGTCTCGGCGATGAGTAGTTGCTTAGTTCTAAAATGTATTTTTGATGCTAGATCAAATACGGGAGTGAGGAAGTTTGCTTTTATCATTTTGAATTTTTTCTTGCCCCTTTCTTGATCGATTCTGCATCTGATTTATAGATAGATACCTAAAAGTCGTCCAATCGGTTCTTTTTCATCCTCTTAACGAATAATTTCCCATCGCAATTTGAAATTTCAAGTGCTTTTCATGTCTCTTAAAATTTGAACAACATTGTTTTGCTTTTGGCCATTGTTTGGAAAACGTTCCCGTATACCTTTCAACATCAGACTGAGGGCTTTCAGTGGGCCACTCAGCTTCCTTTAACTTTTGTTTCGTCGGATAACTTCACCCCCTCAAGAGCTATTTCAAGTGCTACTTGCCTATTGTGGAAACGCGTATTTGTCATTCAACTCAAAGTAGATGGCTAATGCAAAACTTGCAGAGATATCGAAATGAGTATTCGTAACTTGAATCTTTCTTTTTTTTGCAGAATAATTCTTCACCTACTATACCAAGCGACAAGCTCTCAATAACGGAAAATAGACTCGGTGCAGTCTCTCCCAAAAAGATAAAATCAGACATAATAAAGGTAAGCAAAGTAATCATAAGTTAAATGAAAAAACAAATTAATTAACAATTCCACTTCAAAATTATATGTCGGTCGTATTTCATTAAGAGCATTAAAATTTCATATCATCTAAATACTCGCCAATTCAATATAGAATTCATAGACACAAGTTAATTTCGGAGGGCATATATTTAAAATTGCGTTAGGATTGCATGTTAGAGGTAGTCAATAATACATAGTTCAAACACAATTCCTAATCAGTTTTCTTGGTGTACGCCTCAATATCGTCCTATCGTCCGCAATGAATATGAAAATGAGATTCACATTTTGTGGTCCTATTGCTTTACAGATTTGACCATTAGTTATCTGCAATTCACATTGTACCTGCATCCAGGAATGGGAAGTTTTAGGAATAGGTTCTTTTTTGTATCGAACTCGCTAACAACAGGTTTTGCCATGCCGAACTTATCGCTCTAAAACAATAACGGGTTCGCCGATGATCACGACATTCCAAAAACTGGTTCTCGCGATCCCCCGAATCCCACTACTGCCTGTACCCAACAGTACTTTGTCGTATACATGCAGCAATCTTTTATTAATTATAAAAATCATTTTCATTTTTAATATTTTCAGAATTCAATCAGCGATGGTGAACAAAGTGATCAGAATGTTGTTGTAGATGATTTATCAGGACCAGATGACAACAAGAAATCTCCCGCGAATAACAATCATGATGAAAATTCAGATGGAGAACGAAAGTTAGTATTTTAAAATAACCAACATTAGCCTGAAAGCAATGTTAAATATATATATGTGAAATCAAAAATGTCAAAATCGTATCATAGCTATAATTGATATATATGCTCCACACGTATATATAATAAGTATATATATATGAGCTAATAACAAACAATTCAGTTATTTCAATCACAAATGGTATTTCTTAAAAAGATTCAGATCTGCATTGAATGAAAATATTAACTTTCTATGTTTTTTCTGATAAACGCGTTTTGATAGGGAGACGTCTCTATTGTCGAGCATACGTAGTCATTAAAGCCAAAAAAAAAAAAAAAATTAGATTTTCCCATGCAATCACTCAAACAACATATTTTTATTTGAGGTCTCCGAGTGAAAACGTTGTATCTTCCAGCACACATCCTATCACAACAGCTGCATGTACGAGTAGTACGAGCACAAGTCCTCTCAATTCTGCACCGACGTTCACTAACGGACCAAGTAAATTGGGCGTCTCGTCACCTAACGGTAGGAGAAAAGTCTTTTTCGTTCATTTTGTCATGGGATATGTCCATTTCTGTAATTAGGTACAGGATTCAGAGACCTAATGAGTGAAGGTCTAATGTTATTTATCAAGTCACTAAGTACTATGAAAACAAATGCATTGGTTTATATTTACTGGGGCCTTAGACCATAACGCTACATGCGCGAGCACGTACTGATATGTGATTAATCTAAACTAAGGATCTATCTTTTTGCTGATTTCTTGATGACACTAATATTCAATTATACACGCTGCAGATGTTAGTGTGATATTCTATGGTAAATCATATATTTGCTTAATTTTCGTATCATTATGAAATTTTATTTTTTTAAACGTTATTAATATTTTTTGAAAGGAAATGGGAAATCACTCAAAAAGCCAGCAAATTCAATACCTGGACTTTTGAACGGACCGATTTCACTTACAAGCACCAAAGATAGCATGGTAAATATTTGAGCATCAACTTGGTTTAATTCTTTTTTTTCTGACTTATTGCTTTCTATTTCTCCTGACCTTATCGCTCTCTCGACTTCTTTCGCTAATCTCTTCGTTTGATATTTCATTGAAACCCACAAAAATCATGTCATTGGTGCACACTTCCGCACTAGTTATTTGGTTAATGTTCCTTAATATGACAACGTTATTACTACTTTTTTGCAGAAACCTTCAAGTCCGAAACGACGTCAAAGCTTATCACCGAGCAGTGCAAAACAACAAAGATTATCAACCACAAGTCCTGGAGTAACTCCAACAAAACCAGACATAAGTAGGTTGATGGACAAACAGGATGTTTTCTTGTGTACTTTTGAAGTGCCCGATTTTCAACTTTTTTATGTTTATTACAGTTCACCCAGGATTGCGTCCTGGTATACCTGTGACGTCATCTTACGGGACTTTCGGTTTTCCGGTCGGCCTACCGGAAGGATCCGGCCCTACTGGCGCACAGAGTAATCTATTAGGTGGTATTCATCCGGCACATCACGCAGCATACCTTGCCGCTGCCCGACCTATGCCGTTTGATTCACATTCTCAAATTCGGCTATCGGGTTCCGGAGTACCCGGCTCCGTTTCTTCTGGATCACTGCACTCGTCTAAGATGTAAGTTAAACAGTTGCACCTATTGCACCAACTATTCACCTCTTGCACCTAGTTCAATTTTCGTTAAATCTATAATTATTGTAGCATACTGTTTGCTATCAAATATAATCATCCTTTCTTGTGGCTTATTTTCCAGATCATACGCTTTTCATGTCAGTGATGAAGGGAGGTCTCCTCAAGCGGTACAATTCCCTCCCGATGCCACGACAGGGCCAGGAATTCCTCGCGGAGTACGGCAAGCCCTAATCCTGAACCACGGAGAAGTTGTGTGTGCCGTGACTGTTAGCAATCCTACACGACATGTATACACTGGAGGAAAGGGAATCGTTAAAATATGGGATATGAATGACTTACCACAGAATGCGGTATATGAAACGAATTATATTATTTAGTCAATTAGTCAACCAGAATGCTCAAATAATATTCACAATTAGTTCGCCGAAACAATGTCCAAATAAATTATTCTCTTGCATATTAACATACATCTCTAGCCACCTGATCATCAGCCACCTGGACGTTTTTTCTGTTTTCTTCTGTTCACCTCACGTTATTCACCATCTGGGTGCGCGGAGAGGGTGATTGCGCTTACCCTGGAGCAATCAATAATTGAACCTTAGATATCCAACCTACGAAGGCAACACTTAGTAAGCCCAATGCGATGCTAATCACTCGGCCCTTTTAGCATTGACTGTATATCCCATACGACAAACTAAAAAAAGTATGTACATCTATTGGCATTTGTAAAAGGGGCGATTTGGCAAGTTTTTCAAAGAACAATACAGTTAGTTAAGCCATTGACTTGACTTCCGACTCGGAATCGACCCGAGACCCAAATGTTCTATGACTCGATATGACTCGCAACCGGGGGAGTAGGAGCTCACCAAAAACTGTTGACATATAATAACGATTTTTTTCACATGATATCAATGTTCCACTGAAATTTTGATATTGTGATAACACTTCCGTATCCTTCATTTTAGATGAAACGGACAAGTCCTCAACCACCTATCGTTAAACAAAAACCAATATCTCAGTTAGATTGTCTGCAGCGAGATAATTATATAAGATCATGTAAAATATTACCAGATGGTCGAACTTTATTAGTTGGCGGAGAAGCAAGTACTTTATCTATATGGGATCTTGCTGCAGCTAAACCATGTCGGAAAGTAAGTAATTATGTCTGTTATCTGACTGCTGTTTTCAACTGTAGAAGCTGAAAATTAGTATAGGGATGCAGTTTTATTCAATTCAATCAATTTTCTTTCAGGCCGAATTACCTTGTTCTGCACCAGCTTGCTATGCTCTTGCTGTCAGCCCAGATTCCAAATTTTGTTTCAGTTGTTGCAGTGATGGGAATATTGCTGTCTGGGATTTACACAATCATAAACTGATCAGGTATCATAGTAGACATACTTTGCATCAAAGTTAATGACGAGGAGTGCCATGTATATATAATTTATTCAACCGTATATCAGTATTGACTCGATACAAGGACATGCCATAAAGCATTGTTGAATGGAATAATCACTTGTTGTGTTGAGTGCTGGAATGTAATGAATTATGCGTAATTTTGAGCTGTGATAATGTCTAAGTTTCAGTTGTATGTTTCCTTTGTGATATAAATGAATATTTTAATATGCCACAAATCTTTTTTGTGTGGGTCTTCATTGTCAGGTCATACGAATTTAAATTTCGTTCACCATCATTATTTTATTATATACATTAAGCAGCACCACCTAAGGCTACTGCAAACTATACGGGCGCTGTGGGCCTCGCACTTCCGTATTGGCACCTCACTAATTCTAGGTTTAAGTTATTGAATTCAATCTTTATAAACGATAACCCCGTATAGGCTAGCGTTTTAATCTGTATGCGCAGAGCTCGTGATATAAAGTTGCTTTGATCGTGATTTTGTACTTGCTTGGGGCTTAGTAGGATATAAAGACAAATTCATTTTCTGTTGAGGAATTTCAACATTCAGTTCGCATATGGACTACTACTAATTAGCACCGATCATGTCATTCAGTATGTTTTAAATTTAAATATTGCGTTCCTTAAATCATAAAATCAAGTTACAATGAATGAACAAAATTTCTCAGACAATTCCAAGGGCACACGGACGGTGCATCTTGCATCGATATATCACCAGATGGTACAAAACTGTGGACTGGAGGTTTGGATAACACTGTACGATCATGGGATCTCACGGCAGGAAAACAACTGCGACAACACACATTCAGTTCTCAGATTTTTTCACTGGGATACTGCCCATCAGGAGACTGGCTTGCTGTCGGGTATGTTAAGTGGAATTGATTTTATGTTTATATGAATAAAATAAAAAGTTGTAGAATAGAAGGCATATAAATATTACATCACGTAGTTCATCCTATCATCCTGATTTTTCATGCATTTGTAATTTATACCTTCAAATGGTTTTATTATGAATTGGTACTTTGAAGTTAAGTATCCCTGGTTTGTCCGCTATGTCTGTATCTGGTAAGTTGAGCCGCGATTCATGTGGCTTACTAATGTTAGACATTTTTGTATTAGGATCAAAGAAATAATGTTTTACAATGTTTGCTGATGGAATACTATTTTCGATATTTGAGAATCATGTATACGTTTATCTTAATTAAAATGTACTTTGTTTTGTCGAATAAGACATGTTTGCCTTACTTGAAAAGCGTACGACGCACCTTTTATAATTTAAGATAAGCTCCGAATGTCATATGTGTTTTTTTGTTATTAATTATATTATTGCTTTTGAATTTGTGGTTATCTTTTCTATACCAAATTGGAAACTTCATTTAATAATATCTATGAATAACCAAGTTACTGTGTATTCATATTTTACCTTATTTATATTTATGTATATATTTATAGCATGGAGAGCAGTATGGTTGAAGTTTTACACGAGTCAAAACCTGACAAATATCAATTACAATTACACGAAAGTTGTGTGTTGTCGCTCAAATTTGCAAATTCAGGGAAATGGTTTGTTAGCACTGGAAAAGATAATCTATTGAATGCCTGGCGGACTCCATACGGCGCAAAACTCTTCCAGGTAAGATTTTAATGTTTTTTTACGCAATATATTGTATGACCCTTTTAATACTATGACAGAAAAATATATTTTTTGATATACAAACGATACTTGGAACATATCATACTTTTTTATCGTGATTATTTATAACAATGATAAATTGTTGAGAGCTGAAGAACCAACCGGCTAAACAAACTATCTTTGTTTCTACGAGACTGAATGCGTATACGACCTAGAGTGAAACGATAGTTGAACAAAATTTCGTCAGAATCCATATCCAATGATCAGAATCCATTCTCGATTGCTAAATTTGTAAATAGTTTTCGCGATAACATATTGCAGCTATGTAATTGTCAGTGTTTCCATTCTCCCAATGTCCACGATACCCAGATTCAGATATCTGCTATTATTAATTGATATAACTCTGGAATTATTTCGATATCGCTAACCCACACCGGATATTCAAATTCCAGTCGGGGTTTTACTATAAAGAATAATTAGTAGAAACCCACTGCATGTAAATTATCGTTACTGGTACAATTATTAAAATTAACCGGAACTTAACAAATCAACTTAAGCATGAAATACGTCATAGCAAAGAACCCCAACATGACTTTGAGCTATATACATGACCAGCAGTTATGTACACGATACATATACACACAGACATTTATGTTACCTTCGAAATTGATATCGTGTGAATAATCCACCCCTCATGCATGGGTCAGGTGCCGCCCTATGTTCAAGCTTATTATACCGTTCTAGTCATCAATTTTTGCTTCCAAGAGGTAAGTAAATAGTTTTTAGACAGTGTATTTACCCGTACAAGTGTTTACCAAACGGCCTCCCTTATCGTAGACAAATATTTAATTAAGACCGTCCTCTACATAACAGCATTGTTAGCCGTGGCGTAAAGTATATTTGCTTATCTTAAAAATTAGTACGGTAAGGTGTGTCGTAGTTCACATGATATTAATTTCGAAGCTAACATGAATGTCTGTGTGTGTATATGTATTGTGTACATAACTGTTGGGCAAATATTCAAAGCCGAATGGAAAATTTTTGTCCTATAAAAGCTTGTGTTTATCTTTTTTTATTTTCTTGTATCTGTCTTGCCAAAAAGAAAAGATTAGTCTACCTAGCAGTTAACAAAATAACCAACCCACCAGATTTTGAGAGAAGTCTCAAAAACATTGTGTCCCACACTTATTCCACAGATAACACGTTTGGAATCAAGCAATATTCTAGAATTAGAATCAGTAGTCAGCAGTTCATTTTTCGCCATACTGAAAATACTCTTTGTACAAGCAGAATATTATATTAAGTAAAAATGACATTTTACAGAGACACGAGAAACCAATACTGATTTCCGAGCAGCGACGAAATAATTATTAATACCAATATTTTTAAACACATATTCAATATTGTTCTCAGACGAAAGAATCATCATCAGTTCTTAGTTGTGATATTTCATCTGATGACAAATACATCGTCACTGGATCAGGAGACAAGAAAGCGACCTTGTACGAAGTGCTGTGATAGCGTATGGTTATTTTGGTTATTTCTCCATCTTCAAATTAGCTTTTTTGGTCGTTTTATTCGACCACTGCATTTTTTTTTGTATTTCGTAGTAATGCAACATTTTTCTGGAATTTTGTTTTCCGTACATCATGAACGCTGTGCACTTTTGTTGACCGGTATTTTTGTGTGTTATTATGTTTCTATTTTTGCACACAAACTAATCAACTGGGGAACAGATCATAGAAAACAGCATATCTCTTGTTGTATACCACAACTTATTGACTTTGTCATATAGACTTCTGCAACATAAAACCGTAATAAACTGTATGGAGTTAGTTGTTGTAATATTCAGGCGACCACCAGATAAAAACCGTTGAAATGTATTGATTGGCCGGTTAATTTTACATGAGTCAAAACAGTTCATCAACAATGAATGATGTTTAAGAATATTTCAAGACAAATCAACTGAATATTTTTCTTATCTTTAATTTTTCATTTATAGTGTTCCGTAGATTTTTTTTGTTACTCGTGTTGGAGACTTTGACGATTTTGTTTATTATAATTATTAATTGATATTCATTTTAATTTAATTATTAATTAATTAATTGTTTGGTAGAAACCATGTAAACTGTGAACAACTTCCAACAATTTGTACCATGATAATTGTTTAATATTTCCTAGCATGCTTTTAGAAATATCAGAATAAGTTTTCTGATTTCTCCACGTTACACCCTTATTTTGATCCATTTCAAATAGACATATTGTAGCATCTCTTGATATCCATATGAATAATTACAATCACACTGAATGAATTATGAATTTCGTATGATATCGTAAACATTTTCTCAATTCTCTGAAAGCGCTAATGATTTCGTTGCATTTTGTATTCGATTGGTCTGCCAAGCTTATTGGGTTGGTTTCAGTCTATTGACGTATATATTCATACCGAAATTGAAACTTATACACACACTGAATTTACAATGTTTGAGGAATTCTTAACTCCATTCGACCTAATTATTAACGATTTTGTATTATGAATGTCTCCATGGATCGACCTCGAGGAGGAGACTTTTTTTCTATACTCTGCTGCGCCATCTTGAGTCAAGTGTTGAAATTTTGGTCAAAAATATTGAAGGTCTTCGGAAGTAATAAGACCCATATGTTCCGTTTTTGTCTTTATGTCATTATCATCAATCGTAGTTTTCTTAATAAATTTCATGTTGATAAATGTGAAAACTGATGTTTGAAATACGATTAGATTTATGTTTAGTCAAAAATGTAGGGGGAAGTATTCGTTATCTACATCCGTCAGAAGTTTTTCGAATAGTTAGCTTTGAAAGTACAAGTTTGTGAAAGACATGGAACATACAAGTCGGAAGTTTTCAAATTTATAAGAATAGTGGTCTTTTAGAACGAACAAATCCCTCTGGAAAGGCGATGTCTCAAAACAGTTTGAAATCCCCCTTGAACGGCACAGCAGACATATCTGGCACAGTGGGCATTAAAGAAGAGTCCTCCACATATACATCACTGAACCTTGGGAACATTTTTCAAAGATTTATCGAAGTATAGAAAGCAGAAGCTTGCAAGTAGGCTACTGAATATTTTCAGCTAAAGTGGCTTCCCAAACTGGGCCATCGCCTCTCTAGGACAGCGGTGCACAAAGCCGGGCACTCGTGCCCAATGTTTCACGATATAAGCTCAAACGTGGCACGCGAATGGTTTGGTAAAAATAATTCTTGTATTTATAACAAATTCTAATAACCCACATTAAAACCCACGGTCGCGGGAGGGCCCACAGCGAAAAGGGGCCCAAGCGGTTAGAATTAGGAAATTTAAGCCGCAAAACCAAAAGCTGCATTGCAAAACCAGTAATGCACATCTCATAACGTTGATGTTAGTTCTGCTCAAATCGTTTTGTTACGTAACAATGCCAGGAAGTCGTCGATTTTCGGCGTCTTGTGGTTTGATCGCACCGGCAAAGGCTGTCAGAATGTCGAAAGCAAAACTTCTCAGTGGCGCCCAGAAACACAGAAAAAGGGCAGAAGAGGAAGCACGTATGGAAAAAATTAAAGTAAACAAGATAAACGGCAAATTTTAGGTTACCATTGCCTTTTAATAGCGACATGTTAAGCTTTTTGACGAAATAAAAAAGGGGTTGTTTTAGCTTATGTCCAAGAGTTTTTAGGGTCATTCCCACAAAATATTTTTGCGGGGGGCCCACGAGAGTCTTGCTACGCCACTGTATCCAAGCTAGGTCGTGGCCCGAGTATCAGAAGGTAGTAGTAGGCCTAGCTGAAGATGATTACGTCGGATAGCGAGCGGTTAGATCAGGGGTCGGGAACCTTTTTGGTCAAGAGAGCCATAAAATATACATATTTTCAATTGCATTTCCGTGCGAGCCATATAACATTTCTTCACTTAATCAGGCCTAAAATGTTCACTCAAAAGTCAACACATACAATGTCAATATACATTTAATGTGACTTCTGATGCTGCAGGTAGTCGCTGCGGGCCTGGAACGGTTGCTTACATGCAGCCCAAGTTGAAATCTACGATACTCGTCACCCTTTTTCGTTTAGGCATCTTCGTAGTGTTTTTAACACTCTATCGCTCTGTGATGTCACAATATATGTTCCAGAATCCCCTTGTTTGTCACATTGCCTGTCTGGTAATTATCTTACATAACATAGACATGTGCTGGACGCGCGTTCTCAAACGTATTGGGAATTTCCTGCCAAATTTGGCTATAAAAGAGTTTGAAATCTCGTAACTATAGTAAGCTTAGTCTTGGAATATTAGATTTTTCTGGGAGCCATATGCCGTCACCGAAAGAGCCATATATGGCTCGCGAGCCATGGGTTCCCGACCCCTGGGTTAGATGGATAAAATCTAAATCTTAGTTTTAAAGTAGATTGCGATAAAGTGTTGTAATAATTTAAATATGTATGTTTATTCACGCATGTATAGCTCCTTGTTCTGTCAGAAACTGATAACAAATACATACTGTTAATGTCTGCTTTCACATTGTGTTAACCGCTTTGCATTCGTATATATGTTAATAGGCTACCATTAGCTTTTTTAATATTTAGTGGGACAAACACCGACAAGTTTATAAATTCGCACAGTATTTGTAAATTTGCAAGCACGTACAGTGATCGACATCGCTATTTCTCCTTTGCAGCCCAACATTTCAAATTTGTCCTCAAAGCAGTAGTTTTTCAGAACATTGAATTGTTCCAGTAAATAGTTATTGGTCATTATAGTGTCGTAGTGTGGCACTCGGCAAGTTTATTTTGGAAACTTTGACACGTATCCATCCCCATTTGAGTTGTTGTTCTACGTATAGGGGAGCGGCTATCCGGAGGCACAAACAAAGTCCTTCACTAGATTCGCGGTTAATACATAAATAATATAGGGGAAGGTTGGGACACTTTTCTTCTTTTGGATAGTTTGAGCCGTTAATTCTGCATATTCTCTTAAGTTTGCAGGACTAATGCATAGAGGGGTAAATGTAGTTTTTATTCAGCGACAAAGAAATTCCCTTGCGACACACATCGTACTACCAAAATGCTTTGAAAAACGTCTGTCAAGTGTCCCACTGTACCCCACTTGTGGGGCACATTCGGACAGACCCTGGGGCACAATGAGTCAGTCTGTCAAAATTCAACGAAGTATGCCCCTAAAAATAAGCAATTAATCAGCATAATCGTCTAAAGAACGGGGAGACTTCGAATTTGAAGATTTAATATTTTTAAAATCAATGTTCAACTGAACTCTAAAACATTTTGCAAAAAAATTTGATTATTTCCTTCTTCGAATCTAAATCTGGAAATATTATTGATATCTCGAGATATTATTGATATCTCGAATATATTCCATATTGGGCCATGGGTTGAAAGAAACCATAATATTACACAAAATATAACGCGTCTCTAAGCACTTATTGTATCAAACACTGTCGAATTGTGCCCTGTAGAGCATGTCCCACTGAACCCCGGTCCATTGTTCCCCATAGGAAACAAATATTTTCAGACCATCCCACGGCGAAATTCGGAAGGCACATCCACTCGCTAACGTTAGGAATATTTTACAGTGGACTGACGCTAAAGAATATCAGACGATGGTTTGTCTCGTTGGAAAGGCTAAACTAGAAAAAAGAAAAAACTGGAACGGTGAAATTTTACTTTCAACCTCCCAAAACCAATTTCACCCCATAGCTTGCGCCGCTCTACACGTCCGTTGTCCGTTCGCGGGGACGTTGTAACTCACCGAAGGGCGGATTGAAACATCGAACCGCGGACAGGATTGCGGATATAGTATCAGTGTGATAGTTGATTTTCCACCGTGCCCCATGTCCCAACGTGCCCCACCTTCCCCTAAACTGACTGTAATACATTTTATTTATTTATTAGTAAACATGTTAATTAAATAGCAGTTGGAAGCGTGCTCAAATCAAAACTAGGTCTGGCGCCACAAGTGTTCGAGTAGTTTTGGAAGGGCCGCGGGTCCAGAGAGTTTGAGAACCGCTGAGTCAAAATATGCTAACTCGAGAGATCGGTTATTTATTTTTTTATTAGAGCGAAAGAGTTTTATAATACGCCCCAATTTTAAAATTGAGAGCTCAAGACCTCAATTTATTATTCTCCTGCACACCCGTCATCTGGATGCTTTTCGACTACAAAATTCACGAAATGTTCCTGCACATTGTATTGCTGCCAAGCCCGGACTACTCTGCTTTTTCGAAGTGAAAAAGATAGATATAATAATTGGTCCAAAACAAGTTTCAGGCTTCTAGGAAATCTATCACATCTCAGGCCCGGCGGATGTCGCAAGGAACACTCTCGCTATAGCACCTCCGAGCACTCTTCATAGGTAGGTTTGCACCCTTTGTTTGACTTCTCGCGGTTGTAAGGTGGTTCACGTCAAGTACGGCTACGTCAAACATCAAGTACATGCATATGAAACAGATAACTGGTAATCTAATCCCAAAGGCCTGTACCGGACGACACAGAATAAATATAAAATCCCATTCCTATCCATCAATTGGCTAACTCGGTTGAATTTACAGTAATTTACTGCGAAGCACGCTTCGCTGGTTTATTCAACTGTCTGTCTTTTCATTTAACACCTAAAAGACCTCGTGAAATTACAACACAACATAATATGATCAGCTAAGTTTTTATTAGTTTTCACATCGCTTTGTGCGCTATCCCATATAATCAGACAGATATAAACCAGTCGAATTTGAGGTTGAAACGGATACAGTGCAACAAAAAGAGCGACGGAAAATTACGATGTGTCGCTTTTGAAAGTAGTTTGTAACGAAAAATAAAGAGGAAATTTTGAAATGAAAGAATTAAAAAGGATGATTAAAACGGCGCCTCGCAATCAATAGATACAATCACAAAATCAGAAGAAAACAAAAACTAATAGAACAAATCCACATAAAGAAAAAGCTAATAACAGAAACCGATGGAACTTCATAAGATAAAAAAATTAATTTTTTTTTTACAAGTATGGGTGCAGATGACCCGACAACTGAATAATATATGAAAGGCACATTGAAATTTTCAATCGAGTAAATATCATACTGGCAGGGTTAAAAAACTATCAAGATCTTTTGAATCTTCAATATAATGTCAATACCCCTGCAACAGGGAGAATCTAGGAAGGGTTCAGAATCTTGATTTACCCACCTTGTGATTATCTCATTATCAATATTTCAATCCTCTTCTGACGACAATGTAAAACATTTGGAAGGGGGGGGGTTGATTGGTTTCAGTTTACTACTTTTTTTTTCGTCCTAAAGAGCAGGCCAGGATAATCTATTTCATAAACAGTTTCTACACAATTTCGAATTCTTTTGTAATGTGAAACCATTTCCAAATGGTTATGATGAACAATCCAATAAGAATCTGGTACTGAATACTTGCTTACAAATATCCAGTAGAGAATGTTGTGCATTGGAATGTTAGTTCAACTTGGATAACATCAAAATGAGGAGAAACTCGAGTATTTCACCTCTGTGGCCGAGTGAGTGGATACCAGCCAAGAAATGTTAAAATTTGGAGAAGATTATCTACTCTTCATCTAACAACTACTACTACTAACATACAATACAGGGTGTAAAATTTGTACACAAAGTAGCCAAAATCAGCTAGTACATCGACAATATAACAATTGTTAAGATAAATAATATAAACAGTGAATTGAATTTGCAAACACAGGTTAAATCTTGATAGTCTGTCAGTAAAAGCCATTTAACATGGCGTTTGACTTTAATAACTGTGTTACAACTAGATCTGATATGGTTAAAGATTGTTACAAATACATGCAAAATATTTCAACTACACTAAGCAGAACAATTAACAAAAAAAACTTTCAAAGACTAAATTTCTGTACAAAAACAGAAAAATGGATACCTAACTGATTATTTCAATAATAATCTATCAATGATGCAGGCAGCCATTATTTTCAACCAAACTTTGATTCGAACAAATGATTTCAATGTTTCTTAGCAATCACATCTACAATTGGTATTTACTAAGTAGAACGACACTGTATGCCAATGTTTATTCCGAATACATTACATTGTAAACGTCACATATAAAAGAAGTTTGGAAATACTATTACTATTTTGATATAACCACCACTGTGTGAAGTCACTATCACACAAATTTGTGCAATTTCCAGTCTCACTGTCCATTAAAACAACATGAGAGCAGAACAAAATACCACATAATTGTAGTCTATAATGGCTAAGTAAGGTATTGTACTCAGTATTTCCAGTAGAAAATTTGTGAAATGTATTTTACGTTGTGACAGTGGTCACATAGGGTCTCACATCAATGGTGGATGTGTTGGGGAAAAATGATGAAGAATTGTAAACCTATGATATATCCTTGGTGATAATCTTTTAAGAGAAGTTAACAATAGCTCTACTAACATTTCATCCATTTTAAATTCAAGGATTTCAAGTTCAAGAGTTTTCATAATACACAGACCCTAATATTATCCATGTGCTATACAACTAACAAATCCATAAATAATAATTTCAGAGACTCTATAAAATCTAAATCACCTTGAAAAAATGTAATAAATAGAAGTAAATATAGTTATTTCAAGTTCATTTCTCATCCCGCTGGAAGTAGAGCGAAATCGTCTGAAATGTTTACGAGAGGTACATGTAGTTCATTAACCTCCTCTGGCTTCATATTTGACAACCTTTTTTGTTGTCCTTGTTCTGTTTCTTGTAATTTCAGGAGCCATTCTGTGCGTTGAACAGCGTGGAGGGCCTGAGATTCATGCCTTTGTCTTGCGAGAAGTATGTTTTTCATCTTCATGTATTTGTCACCGACATCTTGTTGCCAAGAAATGAACATTCTTGTGTTGAATCGATCACGAACCGATGCGCTTTTGTTAGTGCCACTTTCTTCTAATGATTTTTTATTTCTACGTTCGACATTATACACTTCCCGATCAAGAAGTACTGAACAAGCGCTTACAGTAAAGGTTTGATTCTGAATCATTCTTGCCGCCCGACCATGAACTCGAATTATCTCTTGTTCACATGCAACGATCAGCTTTTCGCGTTGACTGGCATGTTGTAAGCGAAGTTTAACTCTCTCCTTTTCATGTTCGACGAAAAGTGCTCTCATTTCTTCTCCGAGTGATGGTGGGGGTGCAAGCACTGGAACAGACAGCCAACTCTCGCGGCTGTCACTCAGCAAGTATCCACCTGTATATGTCATGTACTCCCAATAACTCTGTGGTGCTTGTGGTGTGATAACTGTAGCATATTTCTTCCTGCGATCATTGATTTGTTTTTGTATAACGGCCCATTCTTCATACACATTCAGACGATCCTGCACAGGATCTTTCTTGACAGCATCCTTCAGTTTTGACATTGGAATGAAAACAGGCAGTTTCTTAGGTTTTGGTTCTTCAATAACAGCATCAAGCTTTGACAACCGCTCCTTGACATATTTCTCTAAAGCAATTTTGCGTTCCATCTCCTCTTTGATTATCGCTTCTTCTTCTGGTGATAACTTCTTTTCAAGTGGTATTTCTGATGGTTCCTGTTCTTTATTCTCTTGGTCAGATTTACCTTCAGATGCATTACCACTTTGTTCCGAATCTTTTCCCCTTTTTGTTGTTTCAGGAGGAACATTTCCAGATATTGCGGTGGAAGCACATTGAGATTCATTTTGATTAGAGTTAGTATTTGTCACAGACTGAGCAGTTGAAGAAGATTCGGCAGTAACTGCTGGTATAGAAGGTTTTGGTGCAACAGCAGATGTATTGGTGCCGTCATTATGTGCAGATTCTATTGTGCTTCTGGATGAAGTCGAAAAATCCTGCTTTGAACAAGATGGTACATTTTGATGCCCATGAACAGGAGTTGAAGGCAGGTTTTGTGGAATTGTTGAACTGGGCATGGTCGTTACAAAATTTGTCACAGGCAGGGAAGTCGCAACATCACTACAGGGCTGGGGAGCGTTCAGGAGTGCACCAGCAACGAGAGGTCTGTGATGAAAATCTTCAGCAATTGAATGGCGTTTTTGTAGATGTTCATGGTGCAAATCTGGTCTCAAGCCAGGAAGTTCACTGGATAGCATTTGATGGCTTTTATTTGGCAAATCACCATCTGGTACGGAACTTGAAAAACTCAAAGATCGTTGCACAGGCATATTTCTTTTCTCCATAAAATTTTGTACTGGTCGTTCTCCTTGTCTCCAGTTTTCTAAAGGTGGTATGTATGGAGATCTGGTATCAAGTTGAGAGTAACTTCTTCCAGTGCTTGGTGGTGACTTAAAAATGCTGTGTGACTCATCCAAAGATGAGCTATGTTCTCGATGAGCTCCAAAAGTAAATCCACTGGAAGGCAGAGGATGCACGCCACCAACATTGTTAGGAAAGCTAGTGCTTTGTAGTTTTGTCTGATCTGATGCAGGATATTCAGGTCGATTTAATACAGCTTTATCAAAAAATGGAACAGTTTTTTCTCCAGCTGTATTCGGTGTGTTACTTTTCGAATCCCTTGCAGCAGCAAGTTCCGAGCTAGTTTGTAGCTTAAGTTTTTGCTGCTGCAGAAGCTTTTTCTTTCTTTTTAACTTTAATTTCTTTTCCATTTCCCTCTGCCGTGAAGATTTCTCCAATTCAGAAAGGAAAAAGGAATTAGCATCAGATAGCAATGCAAGCTTCTTCGCATCGGGCTTATCTCTTTTAACAGAACTAGGCGTTGTCTGCTTTTCTTGAGGTGTATTTGCTGAATGCTTAACAGACTTAGTTACAGAATTTGAGTGTTTCATGCTTTTTACGCTTGTTTCCGAGCTTGTACTATCGGTTGAACGATTCTTTTTTCGCATGGTAGTTCCACCTTCAGTTTTCCCTTCCTGAGAATTTTTTCGGGAAAGAGAACCGCCAAGAAGAGATTTAGCGGAATCTACTTTCTTCAAAGAAGCTTTGGTGGTAGGAGTATTTGAGAGTTTGTCTTTCTCTGCTGTAGTAGTTTTCTCTGAAGTAGAATGCTCACTTGAGGCCATTCTGGATCTGTGTTTGGAATCAGCAGAACTAGAACTTTCGTGAGAGTGTTTTGAATGCTTGTGCTTTTTCTTCTTTTTTATTGAAGAAAAACTGTTTACTTTATCACTACTCAATTTAACTTGGGACGTCGAGTCTTGCTCTTTTACCTTATATAATTTATTGTCAGAAGAATGCTCTGATTTTATTTCTTTTTTCGTATACGTGGCTCCTTCGATTTTGACTGGATTTCCTGAGACACCAGTTTGAGAAAGCTTTCTAGGAGAATCTAATACAGTATTATGGTGTTTTTTATTCTTCTTTTCTGATTTCATTTCAGATTTTATGTGAGATTTTGATGTTTTAGTCCCATCTGATATTATACCAGGTCCAACTGCTGTTTTTGTTTCAACATTAGGTTTATCATATTTATCTTTATTAAGAGATTTACTCAACAAATAATCTTGATTTGGTTGAGATAATTGTGATGAGTGCGACGGCAAAACCGAATTTGTGTTTTTTGACTGTTTTTCCAAATCTGTTGAGACGATAAGGTTGTGATTTTTATCAACCAATGACTTTTCCTCATCGTGACTGATATTAGAGGCTGTTGAACATTGAATTAAACTTTTTTGTTTTTCTTGGCTTTTTACAACTGGGGCCTTATCACTTGTAACTCTGCGATCGTTTGGAACATCAATCTCAGAAACAGAATCGACATCTATTTTTTTGCTTGGTTTTCCTAAACACAGAATATCGAAAAGTTCGTCTGAATCTACTTGCTTCTGTTTCAAACTGATGGCACCGATGTCTGTAAAGTCTTCAGTGGACAAAGAAAAATCATAAACACTTCCATCCGCTTCTTTTTTATGATTTTGACTGCTAGCTGATTTTACATCTGGGCCAGGAAAGCCATTCACTTTTGGCGTCAAATTAGCAGAAGTGATCTTTTGACGATCGTCAGATAATTTACGTGGCTTTTGCTTCATATCAGATGTGTGTACTGTTGTAGTTTGTTCACTACTGTATGATCTCACTCTTTTTGACTGATCCAATTGTGTAGACTTTTTCTTGTGAACTTGCTGTGATGGATCAGAATTTTTTCGTTCAGAAAAATGAGCTTTTTCGTTTGAATACAGTGAATTTGTTTTAGCGTGGTCCTTCTTTGCAGACTTAATGAGAGAGTTTGTCTTGAAATCATTTTGCTTAGATGACGTAATGAGTTTACTTTCCCTTCTTTGTGATTTGTAATCAGAGTCAGATGAAGCTCCCTCGCTGGATGATACCAAATCTGACAGTGGCATTTTCAACGTCTCAACTTTTGTTTTTGTGTGTTTGCGATTACCTTCTTTGTGCTTGTGCATTAGCTTCAATTTTTTTGATTTTTGTGGAGTTGCCGTCAATGTTGGCGTCTTGCCAAGATTCTGTCCATTTGGTCGTTGTTGATTGCCTGTATGGTGGTTAAGCTTTTTATAAACCAGTGGCATATTATCATCTGAACTATCAGAACTGTCGGAGGATGAATCTGAAGTCAGTGATGAAAAAGATGATTTGCTTCTGGCAGAATCATTTTTCAAAACTGGGCTTTTCTTTTTCCCGCTGTCGTTTTTAAACAATTCTCGACTAGACGATGATGTACTAGTTTTGCGCATGTTCGTTGCATTTTTTCGTGCTTCCATGGAATCTTCACTTCGAACAGGTGATGGACATTCAGCATCTGAATCACTTTCGTCACTCAGAATAACCTCCTTCTGCATGAGTTCTCGGATGATCTGGTCTTCAGCAATGTCAAGAGGCCTCTCTCCCTTTCTATTTTTAAGAAGAGGATTGGCACCATGCCGGAGTAATAGTTCAACAAGATCTTTGTGAGCATTCGTCACTGCATCATGCAATGGTGTGTCATTGTCCAAACCTCTAGAGTTAACATTCGCTCCAACTTCAAGAAGATATCGGGTGATTTCTTGATGACCATGGTTGCAAGCTTCATGCAAAGGAGTCCAACCTGAAAAACAGTACAATTTCATTATAGTGACTGCTATCTTTGAAGAACAGAAAACATGTGGACCCAATGTATAAAGACTGTGGATGAACTTAAATACAAATTGTGTCATAATTTTGATAAATGCCTCACTGACAGAAAATGAAGGTCTATATAATCCGAGTGATGGTGATTTATATTGATGCCCAATAAAAAATAATGATCTGTTCCTTCTGATTTAGTCACAATTTTCATGATATTGACATATTTGACAACTAATCAATGAGATAAGTACTCTTTTTAACGAATAGAAAAGATAAATGAGATGCATCTACACAAATTTTCTTTAAAAGAGATTATTGAATTTTGCTTTTGTAAATTGTAAGCATAATAAGCTTACTATAATAACCAATAATGATTGGGTATTGGAAATAATATTGGACAGGAGTACTTTTATATTATAAAAATCTTCTACTACTTCTAGGTGGGCTAACACATAATGGTAAATCACATTCAATACCAAAGACAAATTTTAATTTCAATAACATATAAATGGAAATATATATGTAAACTATTGGAGATATCGCATACTTGGAATTTTGAATTGAATCCAACGATGATTAGAAAATAATAATTATGATGGTGACAGATAATAATAAACAACTATACAAATGAATTTCTTTTACAATTTACAAGTTTTCTTTTGACATCAATTTATTTACATATTCATATATTGTCGACTATTTCTAGTAAATATCCAAATTTACAAAGTTATTTTCGATTAACAGTACATAATTCCCAAGCAATATATAAACTTGATATTTATAACTATTGAAATCTCATAAGAAACCATAACAGTCACGCATGTATCACTACACTATAATTTGCATTTATTCATAACACACCACACATTGTTATGTAGGAGTTTCACTGGTTTGCATATAAATCAATAACGGACATCAATAAACTAGTTTGTTACAACTATCAATGAGCCTCTTGACAGGGGATAGATAGCTTTGCAACAATTGAACAGGTTAGCTCATGAATGATGGAACTAATATTGATTGTAAAACTTTAAGTATTTGAAAGTATGACTTGAAATACATTCCATACCAATATTGGAATGTTTGACTACCCTAATAATAATGAAGCAAAATTTTTTTCTTTCATGAACGTTTTGATCATAAATGCTTGTAGTCGCTGTTTGTTTGGCTACATTAAATAAGAATGCAAAAGTAAAAAATTCTGGACCATGGCTACTCAACCTGTGGACCGCGGTCCAGACCTTCCAAGTATTCGGTTCGAACCTCACCTAATTCTTTATTTTGGATCATTGGCTCCACTTTGGATATGTGAAGGTTAGCTTTTATTAAATTACCTTCATAGTTTTAAAGGTTATTTTATAAATTGTTCATATTTGCACCTGACTATATTATATGAAAAAAACTATAATGCCAATTGCCAAGGAAGTGCACTTTTATTAAGGATGTTGAAATATAATCTCTGGAAAGGCCGGAGCCCAAAAATTTTAAAGTTTTGTTAACGAATCTTTGGTAGAAATAGTTGAGTAGCCCTGTTCTAGACGACAAATTCCAAAAATCTATCACCTTTTTTTCATCTTATTTTATATATGTTATTATAAAAACTGTACTGCACTTGGTGAACTTGAGTTATTGAAAGTTATTCAAAAGGTAAAGTTATTGAAATTACCATGGAAATTCAGAACATTTTTCACATTATTCCACATTTGTTATTAATACTATTAGCAAGTGCTAACTACAATATAGGAATTTACTTGTCCACATTTTTGAAACAAGAATGTATGTGTAACTAACATGGAGAATCCATAATTGATAATACATACCGTATGTACTATTTAAAAGAATGGAAGCTTTGTAGCATGGGGAGTGATGTTGATAAATAGCAATATATTATGCATGACTTGATCAGTTTGAGCATGACTAGTCGGTTAAGTATATTCAACTATTGATAATTAAATTTCAAAATTTCCATACACTCTACATACTGATACAATGAATGCATTCTAACGAGCATAGTAATTTCTGGTAATAATCTACCGTACTTGATTTGAATAATTTGAATAAATTGAATGGACAATTTGACAAAATAAATAAACAATTTATAACCAAGAGTAATTTGCCTAATGAGCTGATGGAAAAAAAAATAGATTGCAAGAGTTTAGTAAATAGAGTTTAGCATTATTATTATTATAATAAATCAAACCTATACTGATGAAACACACGTTTTTAAATGTTATTTGCGAAATGAAATAAATGTACAAGTTATTCTGTTTCCCATTTCAAAAGTGAAAGCTTGATAAAATTGATTGTATTATTTACAAATTATTGTCAAATGAGTAATTTAAACAGGAACAGTGATTCAATAATAAGATTCTAAGCAAAATGGCCATCCAAGAAGCAAACAGCTCAGTGGTTATCTGGTAACAATCACCCTATGGGACTGAATTAATAATTTCTAGACTGCATTCTGAATGGAAAATTATTTGGTTTTGGCCATCCCCATCCTGTATGAGTTCTTAGCAAAAATATACAGACAAAACATGTATGCATAACACATCAAGAAAATAAATTTTCTATTAAATACATAGAAATTATTGAATTGATTCTATTAAGTATTTGCTTCTCCACGAGCTCAATAAAAAATTACAAAATGCCAAGCTGTACTTAAAAGGTTTTTTATTGAATTTTGTTTTAAACGCACAAGTTACATGTCTACACATAAGAATAATCATACCTGCAAAATCTTGCACATTGACATCTGCTCCTTGTCTGATTAACTCCTTCATGGCATCTAAATCCCCCTTAATTGTACTGAGATGTAATAGAGTTTCACCGCGCTCATTCCTTCGATGCACTCTGTCTTTACGACCGGTACTCCCAGGTGTTTTACGTATGCTGGTAAGGGGAGGACTGGCAGGTTCTGGACTATTTTCTGCAGATGTCATTTGCATGAGTAAGGCGAGTTGCTGTCTTTCTGACAGCGGGTAATGTTTTGGCGCCTCAACAGTATTTTTCCGCCGTCGTTTTTTATCTGCGGAAACTGTGTGAGAGTCATTTTTGTCATCATGTTCTGAAGAACCAAATAATTTCCGCTTCATAGGCTTTTCTTTCATAGAAGACATGGGTTGATGCTTCACACACTCATAGCATATAATTTTATCATTCGTTTATCAGTTAAAGCTAATCATTACTATATTCTGTGGAGGATAGAATCATATAATTAGTATGTGGGTAGAAAATTGGCTCATATTTATGGTAAGCACTTCGTATGACAATTTTCAAAAACAATAATCAGAAAAAGTAAATTATCTTTTCCATATATTGACTACTGTCTAGTTTATTAAGCATTGTGATGAAACCAGAATTACAATGTTATAGAATAAGGTAAGTCGCATGCTTGATGAGATAAAAGCACAAGGGGATAATGTCATATAAAATCATATGTTATAACATCAGTTATTTGATATATAATTAGAGCATGGTTCATGGTTAGCTTATTATTAACAGGAATCATGAGATAACAATCTACTTAGTGCCTTCGATTAAGGCAACATGTTTGGTGCTTCAATATGCCTTATATTCGAGAAATTTTATTGGTGGTTGAATTCAATACAATCCCGTTCCATTTCCAACAGTATTGGTGGTTGAATACAATACAATCCCGTTCCATTTCCAACAGTATTGGAAAATGAATTGCCATGTTAAACATCTGCTTGATTAATATCATTGTTTTGATTACCATGAAATTTGAATATCCCGAGTTTTGTCTCATATTATGATCAAACGTAATGTGGACAATTCACAATACAACTTCGCTTGCATATATGCTGTTCTACCTATCAATTTTGCAATGCTATACAATAAATGTTATAAAAATTGAACCTGACAATACAAAATGTCAACATGCTATGTCAGTGGTTTTCAATCCTTTTGATGGGATGGAACCCCTATGAAACATTCCAGAACAGCAGAACCCCTATGCAATTGATTATATGTATATTTGTTATCATAAAATGTGAAACTATTTGGCGCGTAAAACCTGGGGGTCTATCAAGGAACAATTATACCCAGATATTTGAATATACTTTAACAACATACATATAATAATATAGACACTCAGACATGAATGGAAACTTGGCAGAACTCCGGTTAAAAAACACTGTTCTCTGTCTTGTACAATTAATAAAAATAAATTAATAAGTATGTCACCTACACTAGCACATGATAAAACTGTGTTGCTTCATCAACTGTTACAAAACAGATCTTTATTCATATTAACTGGGTTATTAGAGCAAATTCTTTTCCACAAGACAATCAATATTTGAATCATACAATTTAAAATTTACATTTCTCTGCTATTATTTGAGTTTTGAAGACTATATTTTCTGTTTATTATAAAAGATTTATGAAATGTAAAATCAAGTCAGAAGCTGAATTTAACTATTCGCATCAAACTTGATCGTATGATTCCGCTATAATGAGGCTTAACTTGGGTTCAGTGCAACTAAAATACTTTCTTAAAAACAACAAAAATCACAATAGATGTTTCATCAATGATATGCTTTCGTAATACATCGCATGTTGCATATAATAGGTGAAATTTATCTCCAGTATAGTTTTAATCCATATCATTAAATGTATGCAATTACCATTAAATAACAGCAATGAATTTCACAAACTAATTTGATATTTGGACTTGGAATTGATATTTGGATGGAACACATAAAGCATGTAAGTGAGTTGACGCCTCAGATAACGTTTGCACGCTATATAAATGAAAGACAAACAAAACAAAGTGATCAATAATCAATACTAGTGCAGCATACTGCATCAGGAATAGTAGGACAAGTCGTGGTAGGATAACAAAAATTAGTTTACATAAGAATATAAAAAGTTTAACATCATACCAAGATTTGGAATTTTCTTCTATCCAGAATGTACGTACTTAAAAATATATAGCTTATTGAAGATAAAATTTGAAATACAATACACTTTACTGATTTTAGGGAGTGCCGTGCATGATATTTTGCTACATAATAACAAATTCAATTCAAATAATTAAATTCCCATAAAAATTAGGAAATACCACCCATACTTGTTGCAATTGCAATATATCAAAATTGTATACATATTACACAATTTTATATTGCTGTTGCAGCACAAGGCTACTTACCAGTACTCTCTTGAGAGATCAATGATTCAATGAAAAAAAGGTCTGTAATGTTACTTCATTTAAATTGATACAGGTGTGGGAATGGAGTAACATAGAATGGAATAGGGAGAAAATTATTTCTAATAATTTTCAAAGTGATGCTAAATTGTTAATAACCCATTGTGGAAAGTCAGCCATATGGGAATATAGGAATAAAGTAAAATATGACAATATATATCAGATGCAATGTGATATACGTGCTATTTTAAAATGTAAGATTTTGGGCGTTATTAAATTAATGTCTGATGTTGATAGACAAGATCTTCTCAACGAAGCAATAGTGGATAACCTACTCATAAAGTCTATAATGATTTGAAAATATTTGGTTTACATAGGTGGTAAACATAAGCATAAATTGTTGTATTTTCTATAGGATATGTTTATTTGGGTGTCTGATGGATAATTTTTTATGTTAGAGTTGAATAATAACATTTACTTGGACAGGAAATAGGAAAATCCTATTAGCATGATAGGTGTTCAAATTTGCTGTCTAATAATTATAAATTTTGCTTTTCCATGCTAATATAAAATAAATTTAATAACATTCACGATGATGACAATTGGGACAACAATCAACTAAATCAATTGGAACTACAAACAATGAATTGCTGATATTGAATATGTGAATGTAAATGTATGGGTATTGTATATTTAAATTGTAAAATGACTTTTCCTCATTTAAACGGAATTCAAACCATGCGATTGTATTCCGATATCAATTACTGTGACCAAAATTGGAAATTGACATAAATAATATTAATTCACTTTCATTTGGACAAAAATTTTATAAATAATTGAATTTCATATTGGCACTGGAATTCTATTTGGCAAAAAAAAAAAAAAAAATTTTAATTTTGTCACCCTATATCACAGATGGTATTAACTAAACTAAATGGAGAATCAATTTTAGAATCATATACCTTAATTAAGCAAAGATTGGTTAAGTTAGCTTCATCTGACATATAAAATACAAAATGCTCAAGTAATATTTTTACCTACACAGGAAAGATTTTTGAAAATCAAAATATATAAACTGCCACACAGCACACATACTTGTTGTGAACAATTGTATTAGCCAATTTATTTTATATACCGATAATAATGTGTTATTCTTTCAAAACAAGACGAATACATGAAATGTAATCAAAATGGACATCCCATGTATGGAGTACAAATACAATCATACCATTTTACCTATAGTTTATTTAGAAGCTCTTGAGAGTATTTCAAGGATTTCTTATAGAAATGCTTTTATTTTGTTTAATTCTACTATAAATAAATGAAATATAATAAATTATCACATCATTGTTGAAGATACAAATTTGCAAATGTTTATTGAGTTCAGGGATGTCCAAAAAGAATCGAAAAATCGATTACATTCAGAATTCAATATACCGATAGTAAATTTTTGAATTTAAGAATAATTCAGAACTTATTTATTCAAAAATTAGGAATTTTAAGCCATCAGACAAGCAGATCAAAACATATCAATATCTCAACTGGTATCAAACAAGACAGAGACCAATTACCTTCATATTTATGTCATTTTAGATATGATCAACATGAAGATATAGTGATTTATGTAATTCTCCACATGAATTTTCCCCAAATTTAGAATGTATTCGATATTCCATATTCAAAAATATTTTCTCAGAATGTATTGGCAATAGTGAAATATTCGGTTTTGGACATCCTTGAACGAGTTAACGATTATTTGAATATTTTAGGCAAATACATTCAACATGATAATGGTATTTAGGAGAAAAACATTTATGATATGTTAATAATATATGAATTAGTCATCACTGTTGTCAAATAACAAAATTATTGAAAATATCAAGTATTGGCCAGTGTGAAAACATTATCAACACTTTGATTGGTCATTTTTGTGCAAAAACTTATTGTTAGACCAATAAAGATTGTTCAACTAATTAAGACTTCTTAGCTGAATTCAATATGCTACAGGTAATTGATTTGTGTTGATTTATATATATACATTTTTCCCATATATTTATATTACATAACATAGAAATCTTTCCAGCCTAATAATGGTTCAGTTTCATTATTTTCGTACAAGAAATCTGCGTAAAACTATGTCGTATTTATGCTGTAAAAAATGCCGCCAAATCACAATTTTACAGCAGTCAAACCAGAGCATTGGATATCCCACTGTAATATATATGATAAACATCAATATTCATTCTGTTATTATGCCTCGAAAATGGACTAAAGTAAGCAAACAGAAGAACTAAAATCTATTCAAATATTTAGTAGAAGAACCACACTTGATAGACTTGCAAAAATATTGGATTTTGGTACAGCGGTGCATTAGCGTATCGATATAATAGCTCTAAGTCTTATCTGAAATCTAGCAGAACATAATAGGTTTTGGTGTAGCCTCGAGTAAGGCATAAATACCTGGAGGCTATAGTTTAAACTTTTGCCTGTTGTCTGGACGTTCTCATTGGACATTTTTGGCTCAATGGCTCTATTTTTAGTATCAAAGCACACCAACTTGCTTAAAAATTTAATAATGATTTCATTTGCATAATGACTTTTTCAATAAACAGCTTACTACAATATTTACTGAAACTATTTACTGTAAACAAAATTTAAAAATCGACTCCTACTTGTCTGTAATAACATCGATGAAGGTTGAGATCATTATGTTCACAATAGTTAGGTAAAATATATTTTAAACATTTACTTTATTATCTGCAACAATTGGTTCTAATAAAACATAATAAAATTAATTAATTATAATTTTTATTGAAGCTGAGGTTTGGACATTACTAAATTATCATCTTTAGAGTAAATTTAAATCAGAGAGATATATATCCGCGCCCAAGTTTCGATATATTTTGAACATTTACTTTATTATCGCTACATTTCGCCCCAATAAAACATAATGAAGTTAATTCAACTTAATGTTTAAAGCTGTGGTTTGGAGTTTGGACATTAGCGTATTATCATCTTCATAGTAAATTTAAATCTGAGGGAGATACATGGGCGCCCAAGTTTTGACTATTGACTATTGGCAGCTTTGTAAAATTGAATAGAGCAAATGCAGAACAAACATTCAAGTAATCTCAGGGTGAAATAGCATTTGCTCCTAGAAGATCAGGAATTTCAATTACCGGTACATGCGAGTCAAGAATCACCGTATGATTGCTTTTGAATGACCCCAACTGCTTCATCAATATTAGAGTGGAAGATTAGCCTAGTTTTGCTTATTAGTATTCAAATAAGCTGTTGGAATAATATATATTCACTCGAACAATTTAAAGAAAAGTGATGGTCATAGATGATTTTTTTGCTTATCACTGATACCAGAAAGGTGAATTCTTTTGTAAAAAATGTTAAAACTGTAATCATATTCATACATTACTGAATCAAAATAAATTTAATACACTTTACCATTGCGTTGCAAATAACCTCTGGCAAGTAATGAGCTACAGTACAAGGAAATACGGTAATATTATTAATAAGAGAAGATTACTGGTACCACCACAGTACTTTATTTATTTATCTCCTGACTGAAGTAAAAGCAGATCGTCATATATTGGTTGGAAAGTCATAATGGGCTATCCACAATATAATGCAGTGGTTTATAAATGAACCAGGAATATGTCATAAGTGTGATGATAATATTAAGGGACCTATATGTTATTTGTTTTTCGAATGTGAGTGGGAAAAAAGCTGTCTAGTAATGGTGTTGCATAGGAAAATCGAAATACTATTATAGAAAATGAGCCGATATGCAAGCATAAAATAATATCGAAAATATCAGTAAAAGTGAAAAATTAGGAATATTTAAAATTCAGATAAATAAGATGGAATATTTAAAATGAAAAAAAGCCTGTGTTGAGTGTTTTAATGTA